ATTAAAACGTTTGGGTTTAGGAGCGCCTCACTGGCAGCACTCATGGCCCATCAAATGGGATAACGGCCCTGCTGTAAATACGACTGTCCTGTGTGAATGCAACGTTCCTGGGGAGGTGATCATCAGCACAATAAAACTGTCCCAGCTATCAGCCTCGTCGACCCCACTACCGGCATTCGTTTGGAGTTTGGTGTCATTAGCCTCAACATGTTCCATGTTCCATGTCTCTCGCACACACCCGTGCTCTTAAACCCTCGTTTTAATATGCAGCAGAGATTTAGAGCAATTCACTCTCCTGTGCATCGGGAAAGTTTTTGAATTATTTCTTCATAGCAGATGTTTCTGACCCGCCAAAATTAGTCTTTCTTAGTAGGTACTGGAAGAAGCAGCAAGAAGCCTTCCAGCTGTCAATGTGAATAGTTTCAAACCCGGAGTCTCTTTTTGGGACATTTTTATCTGGGGTCTAATGACTGGGCTGATGATTCTGTTACGACATTCGGTGGTGCTGCTGGACTCGCTGCCTTTTCCCCGGCGCCCGCCTTGACCTGCCTTGAGGACAAGTAGAAAAGATAAGCATGACAAAGGAGGGGAAGCAAGAGGGGAGAGAGACAAAGGGAAAGCAAGCCCCCCAGGCCAGCCCGGGGTGGAGCGGAGCGGGAGGGCGGTGCTGTGCCCTCTCAGACCACAGGGCAAGTGTGGGGAAAGGGCGGGAGCAACAGAAGGAGCGGCGGCGATGGAGAGGGAGGTGAGCGCCGTCGGGGCGGCCGGGACTGCGGCGGGCGGGGGGAGCGCGGTGCGGCACGAGCTCCCCCTGGGCGTGACCCTTCCCGCGGGGACAGGAGCCGCCGAGTCCCCACTGGGAGCTCAGAGGGAAGGGGCTCCAGTCCCGCTCCTGGAGTCATCGTATCCCACACCTTCCCCCGGGGTGAGCCGGAGCCGGCGGGGTGCCCGACAGCCCCGTTATCACCGGGTGCTGGGGGGGGAGAGCCGGGTCCTGCCTCTCCCTGCGACCCCACGCAGCCGACCTCTTGGCATTCACCGTTAGCGAGTGACCCTTTCCATCCGGAGTATCTTTTTGGGACATTTTTATCTGGGGTCTAATGACTGGGCTGATGATTCTGTTATGACGTTCGGTGGTGCTGCTGGACCTCTTGCAGTAACTCCTTTCCCATTCTATATCTATAAAGGCCATCGGTTAGTTCCTAAAGCTTGTGAGGAATCACTTGTTACCGAGTTTATTTTGGTTGCTGGGACTTCAGCATCCCTGCTGTTTAATACCGGTCACATCTGTCCTTGATGGTTTTGGGGAGGTGAGGGGACCATCCATGACAGTGTAGGATGTAGACAGGAATGGTGAGCAGGAAGTTTAATTGCGATATTACCCTGCATTTATAATTCCACTCGCTTGAGGGACTATGAAGGACTAAACAGCACTTGTTGCTGGCTGATATATTCCAGGCGCCTGGGAGGAGCATTGTGATGTGCATGCTAGTTTTTGTTGTGCAAATATATTAGCCCACTTACCCTCCACTAATTGCAAACTGAGTAAGTAAATTCTCTTTCTTTGGTTGGAGGTTGTGTTTCACATATTATAGTTATATTTCCCTCTGCCAAATTCATGCTATTAGGTGGAGCTCCTAAAAAGTAAAATAATACAAGTCAGGGTGGGGCTGGCCCGGACAGGTTACCCCATTAAAAAGAAGGAAATATCCACCACGCACTAATCCTGTGTTTTGTACCGCTGCTGTCAGGAGTTTCCCAAGCAAGTGGGCCACAAGGTTTAGTCAAAGTCAGAGGCACCGTTCCAATTTGGGGTAATTTTACCATAACAGGTTGTCCTGGTTGCAATGCTGTCCGATGTTCCCTTTTAATGGAAGGAGGAGCACCTGATGCAGGTTTTGGAAAGACAGCTCGGCTCACGGGGCTCCATGTGACTCCACACCGATTATTGAGTCGCTGAAGTGCTCTGGGGAGACCAACATCCCACTCAGTTTAACGATCAGTCCCTGTAGTTTAACGATCAGTCCCTGTAGTTTAACGCTCTGTAGTTTAACATCAGTCCTCAGTCCCTGTAGGCTTTGTTAAACTCCCTTTGTGATCCCTTTCTCTGATTCCATTTGTATGGGGACAATTCCACTGAATTTCTTCCTTGAATTCATCCACACCAACCTCTTTACTTGAAAAATTAGAGCCACTATCACTTGGGATGGAATCAGGAGACCTCAGCCAGTGTCTTTCCATCCTGGCCTTTGGGTACCCTGAGCAGGCCAGAGACTCCTTCTCCCCCGGGAGGGTGGATTGTGTCCTGCAGAGGGCCTGAGCGGCCCCATGGAATCCATTTGCCATGCAGATCATAAAGCTTTTCTTTTCCTGACATATAGGGGTGATGCTTTAGCAGGGTGATCTAATTATAATTCGAATCTACGCTGAGGACATTCCGTGAGAACAGTGTCACAAGTTTTCCTGTTTAGGGGCCACCCTTTGCTCTGTGCAGCAAAATAAATGGCTTCTTCATCAGTGTGACCAAATTTCTGATGTAACCATTCTCCCAATTGATACCATTTCTGATTTAGGGAGTCTTCTGTCTTTATGTCCCTGATTTTAGTTAATCCACCAATCTTTTGATTCCAGTTTATGGCTGGTTTGTTATCCTTGGCATGGGATTTAACCCATCCTATCTTGACCAGTGTTTTCCTGGCTATATTCAATAATAATTGCCAGTCTTGAGATCTCCAAATGGGAGATCTGTTTAATTCCCAATTCAGGGATTCCCACTGGCAGAGCCACTGTGTGGCTCCAGCCCAAACAGCACAGGAGCCCACAGAGATCATTTTTGCTCCGTTCTGAGCTGTTAGAAAAACTGCTCTTAACCCTCCTACTCATCCCTTCGCCTTCTTCGGCTGTTTGTTTGTGTTGGTGTTTAATGCATCAGCCTTGTATTGTCATTTACCATTTACCCTTTTTGCTGAGGCATCAGTGAACCACATATCTTCTGTTGGCATCCCCTTAGCCAGGGGAGGTGCACCTAAAATTGGTGAGGGTTTAACAGGTTGCTGTAATGCCAATGGATGTGCATTTATAGTCATTTGTAATTTAGAAACTTTAGAAACTTCTGTTAATTCCATTCCTTCTGCAACTGCCTTTAGGTAGGAATTCATTTCCTGACTGTAGAGCTTTGTGCAACTCCTTCTGGGGGAGCAGAGCCCTTTAAAATATATTCCAGCCAATTAAATTATCCTCTGTTTTGTACAGGCTGTTCCTGGTGTATTTTTCTAAGCTTGTTCTGCTGCTTGGACTAGAGAAGAAGGTCTCTTTTTCCATCAGAATATCTCTATTCTGTCTCTTCAAATGCAGGGAGACTAAATAGTAAAGGTCTCTTTGGTCCCTCGGGCCCAGTTTAAAACAGGTCACAGGAGGTCCCACGCTCTGCAAACCCCCCTTCTGCTATAATGAGATTTTGGGGTGCACTGATACCAGTGATTGAGATGGTTTTTAATTCCAGTATTAGGGTCTTGACTCATGTTCTCCTCATGTTCTGAGTTCCACCATTTTCCCTTTTGTAACAGTGAGTACAGTGGGTGAGCAATGATAGAAAATCCGTGTTTTCTCCAATATCCTAAAGTTCCCATAGGCATTGTAATTCATCAGAGAACTTAGGATTTGGACTTATTCCATGCTTTTGTAAGTGGTCAGTGACATCACTTGCCATCCTGCTGACTATTTGTTGTGAATGAGTGTTTTAAGATTGCTTAAAGAATCACCAGCAAAAGTTTTGGCAAAAAACAGGTTTAATATAATCTAAATTTAATATAAAACAGCATGACAAAGTTTGTTGGCAACATTCACTCTACTACTTACCAGGTGGTTAAAGGACACCGAGAAAAAGCAAACAAAAAATCAAAATCGATCAATCCAAACCAAAATAACCCCAAAAACTATCTGTGTGGAGACTGGGAGTAGGGAGAAAATGATAGAAAAGCGTAAGGATAAAAAGGAATATGGAGGATCCTGCTGTTGAGCCATAAGGTTTAAAGTAGACTCCTGTAGTCCAGGACAACTCAAAGGGTCTCACTTTGGACCACTGTTTATAGGGCCAACAGACAGTGGGCTTTAGTCATAGGAATTTTCCATCCTGGCCCCAATTCAGGTCACTATCCTTCTTTGAAAGTTTGATAACAAAAATATTATTCCATTTCAGTTGTTATTCAGGCAAGAAAAATACATTTCCAAGTTTCCAAGGCTGTTTGTTAGACAGCTCCTGGAACACACGTTTCTGATAAGCTCAAAAGGAGCTTATCCCAGGTGCTGTTTGTCCAGGCCAGGGCCTAATGAACATTTCTCAGGTCATAGTGTGTCCTAGCGTGGTGTCTCCAGACTCTCCTTAATGTTCTCAGAAGCCTGAGGGGATGCTGGGAGAAGAGAGTTGGCTTTCTGGGGCCCCAGTCTGGATTCTGGATTCCAGAATCATGGAATGCTTTGGGTTGGAAGGGACCTTAAAGCTCAGCTCATTCCACACCCTGCCATGGGCAGGGACACCTTTCACTAGCCCAGGTTGCTCCAAGCCCTGTCCAACCTGGCCTTCGACACTTCCAGGGATGGGGCAGCCACAGCTTCTCTGATCAACCTGTGCCAGGACCTCACCACCCTCACAGGGAAGAATTTCTTCCCAATATCCAATGTAACCTACTCTCTTTCAGTTTAAATCTGCTGTGATGCAGTGGGTTACCTTGGCTCTGTGCTCCAGCTCCCTCCTGCAGCACCAGCTGCTGCCTGTGTGGCTTCCCAAGCCCTTGCAGGGCTGTAGGGGACTGTTGGTGACCTTGGGGTCTAACGAAGTTGCTGGACTGAGTCATGTGGAGCAGGCTGGGACAGGGGGCAGGGACGTGTTGCTGTGTTGCAGTGGCCGTGTTGCTCTCACCAGTCTCCTGAGAGCAGAGGGGTTCTTTTTCTCCACCAGGCATTGGCTGGCACCGGGTTGGCTGTTCTCTCCTGGGGTTGGGATGCTCCCAGCTGGGAGGTTGGAAACATTTCGCTCTGACAATCATCTCCCTCCTCAGAAGTGGACCAAAAGCATCAACCAGGCCAGAAAGATGTCCCTGCTCGCCTGGGAGAAGGAGACCGGCATCGAGCTGGTGCAGATCAACGGGCAGCGGCGCTACGGGGGGCCACCCCCAGGTACGTGAGGGGGCCACCCCCAGGTATGTGAGGGGGGCCACCCCCAGGTACGTGAGGGGGCCACCCCCAGGTATGTGAGGGGGCCACCCCCAGGTACATGAAGGGGGCCACCCCCAGGTATGTGATGGGGGCCACCCCCAGGTATGTGAAGGGAGCCACCCCCAGGTATGTGAGGGGAGCCACCCCCAGGTACGTGAGGGGGCCACCCCCAGGTATGTGAGGGGGGCAGCTCGGCGCCCTGGTGCCCCGTGGGCACGGCAGCTCTCCCCACGGGCCCCCCCGGCTGTGTGCCCGCAGGCTGGGTGGGTGACCCGCCGCCCGCCGACACCGAGGTGTACATCGGGAAGCTGCCGCAGGACTTGTACGAGGACGTCCTGATCCCGCTCTTCCAGAGCGTGGGGAAGCTCTACGAGTTCCGCCTCATGATGACCTTCAGCGGCCTCAACCGGGGCTTCGCCTACGCCAAGTACAGCAGCCACCGCGGCGCCAGGGACGCCATCGCCGCCCTCAACCACTACCCCGTGCGCCAGGGCTGCGCCATCGTGGTGTGCTGGAGCACGCAGAAGCGGGAGCTGAGTGTGGACGGCCTGGCCGCCTCGGTGAGCCAGCAGGAGCTGGAGGCCACGCTGCAGAGGGCCACCCAGGGCATCCTCAGCGTCACCCTGCACGCCAGCCCCCGCCAGAGACAGGCCAAGCTCGCTGTGCTCCAGTACAGCTCGCACCAGGCTGCTGCCCTGGCCAAGAAAGCCCTGATGGAAGGTGAGTGGTGCTGTGGGATGCAGCTGGGGCTGGGTTTCCTGGTGTCCCTAAGGAAGGGTTGATCCCACCTCCAGGCTTGGCTGTGAGGTAACTTCAGCCTTGAGGCACCCCTTGTGTCTTGTGGGATACCAGCTGCTCTTGGTGTGGTTGATCCCTTATATCTACAAGTCCTAGTGGTGGTGGGATGAAGAGGCTGCTGGAGGTCTTCAAAAAGTCACCTGCTCAGGGCAGGAACATCACCAGTGCCATTCCAGGGTATCCAGAATGTTGACCAAGTTATTAAACCCTCCCAATGGAGCTACCCTATCCCTCAGTATCCCTTAAACCCTCCTGATGGAGCTACCTTACCCCTCAGAGCTCCGTTCCATGATTGCCCTGGGACACCCTTCCCAGACATTCAACTGGGACCTTAGACATCCAGAGTCCTGTTTTGTACCCGTTTGTGCCCCAGCTGAGAAGCATTTGGCTTTGGCATCTTGCACCTTGTCCCTAAAGCCAGGCTGCCCCTAAAATCCTGGGGATCACTGCAGCAGATGCTGAGGGGTGGGACGGGGTGATGCTGGAGGGCAGGTGAGCATGTCCTGTCTCTCGCAGGGAACCTGAGGCTCAGGGGATCGGGGATGAGGGTGGAGTGGCTGCACCCTGACCTGAAGCAGAAGCTGCAGCTGTGGGAAGAGAGGCCACCAGCCAGCCAGGTGCAGGAGAACAAGAGCCTGGCAGCGCCCAAGCCACTGGCCCTGCCTCCAGCGGTGCAGAACATGTTGGACCACCTGAACACCCTGCGCAGGAGGCAATGCCTGGGGATGCCCCTGTTCCTCACTAAGTGCATCCGGGTGAACCCCAACGGGTGGCTGCAGTTCTGGTACCAGGTGCAGATCCCGGGGTACCCCGTGCCCTTCAGTGGGTTCACGTGGGTCCGGCAGGATGGGCAGGGCCAGAGCAGGCACGAGGAGGCCAAGGCTGCAGTGGCGCTGCACATGCTCCGTGTCTTAGGTGAGCCTTTGGTGAGTCCTCCTGTGGTGTCTGTGCCAACCCCCCACCTTTCCCAAAGTCCTGGAGTGTCTCCTGGGAGTGTGGAGTGTGTGTCTGGGGGGAGGACTCAGCCTGGCAGGCAGGGCTGAAACACTGTCCACCCCCTGCTAGACGGGCCCCTGCTGGCTCTGAGCTCTGGGTGGGATTCCTGGTTGGAAGCAGAGGGTGCAAGAGGAGGGTTTGGGGTGAGAGCAGAGCCTGACGCTCCCCTCTCCACAGCAGAGTCCCAGCTGGCATAGGGAGCTGCTCTGCC